TCAGGAACACCAATTATTCTTATGTTCAGTCGTTTAAGACAATTCGAAGGCTGGGCGCAGTGGCTCAAGGCTGTAATCCCAGCACTTTGGGAGGCCGAGGAGGGTGGATCACGAGGTCAACAGATCGAGACCATCCTGGTCAACATGGCGAAACCCCGTCTCTACTAAAAATGCAAAAAAATTACCTGGGCACGGTGGTGCGTGCCTGTAATCCCAGCTACTCAGGAGGCTGAGGCAGGAGAATTGCCTGAACCCAGGAGGCAGAGGTTGCGGTGAGCCGAGATCGCGTCATTGAACTCCAGCCTGGGTAACAAGAGCGAAACTCCGTCTCAAAAAAAAAAAAAAAAAAAAAACAATTCGAGACTTTTGGGAGGCTTTGTTCATATTTTCTTATTCTTCGTTCTTTGTCTTTGTTGGATTGCATTAATTTGAAGACCTTGTCTTCAATCTCTGAATTTCTTTCTTCTACTTGTTCAAGTCTATTACTGAGACTTTCCAGAGCATTTCACATTTCTTTAAGTGTATACAAAGTTTTCTGAATTTTTGTGTGATTTTTTTAGCTATCTATTTTTTTTTTGGATATTTCTCCTTTCACTTCTTACATTGTTTTTTTTTATTTCCTTGCATTGGGATTCACCTTTCTCTGATGCTTCCCTGATTAGCTTAATAACTAACCTCCTGAATTTTTTTTCAGGTAAATCAGGGATTTTTGTTTGTTTGTTTGTTTGAATCTATTGCTAGTGGATTAATGTGATTTTTGGAGGTATGTAAAAGAGCCTTGTTTTGTCATATTACCAGGGTTGGTTTCCTGGCTCCTTCTCATTTGGGTAGGCTCTGTCAGAGGGAAGGTCTAGGGCTGAATGCTGTTGTTCAGATTCTTTTCCCACAGGGTGCTCCCTTGATGTAGTACTCTTCTCCTTTTCCTGTGGATATGGCCTCCTGTGAGCGGAACTGCTGTGATTGTTGTCTCTTTTCTGGGTCTAGGGACCCAGTGAGTCTACCCGGCTCTGGGCTAATACTGGGGGTTGTCTGCACAGAGTCCTGTGATGTGAACAATCTACAGGTCTCTCAGCCGTGGATACCAGTGCCTGTTCCAGTGGGATGGTGGTGGGGTGGAGTGCAAAGGAATTTAGCTTTGGTGGCTTAATGCTCCATTTTGTGCTGGTTGGCCTCCTGCCAAGAGGTGGCACTTTCCAAATAGCATCGACTGTGGTAGTATGGAGAGGAACAGGTGGTGGGTGGGGCTTTATAACTCCCAAGATTATATACTCTTTGTTTTCAGCTACCAGGTAGATAGGGAAGGACCATCAGGTGGCGGCAGGGCTAGGTGTGGTTGAGCTCAGACTTTCCTTGGGTAGGTCTTGCTGGGGCTGCTGTAGGGAATGGGGGTGCTGTAGGGAATGGGGGTGGGATTCCCAGGTCACTGGTGCTATGTACCTAGGAGGATTATATTTGCCTCTGCCGAGTCATGAAGGTTGTCAGGGAAGTGAGAGAAAGCCAGAAATCACAGACCTCACCCACCTCCCAAGCAAACCAAAGGGCCGGTCTCACTCCCACCATGCCCCACATGACAGCCCCAAGTCTATTTCCAGGTAGTGGGCAAGATGGGTTTGAAAACTTGCCCCAGGCTACCTGCCTCCCAGCTGCAAAAGAACGGGCTTGGTTCTTCCACTATTTGTGGAATCTGCACACTAGCTTTGTGCCCTCTCCCAAGTTCTGGTCAGGAGGCTTCCTGCCCCATTCAAATTGTTACAAAGTTCAGCTAGAGATTTTCTTCTCCCTGTGGAATTTTACCCCCTGGGTAAATGGGAATCCCACCCCTATTCCCTGCTTCTCTTGCCACCTTCTCTATGGATCTCCATGGTACCAGACCAGAGGGGGCTTCTTGGGGACCCACTGAGCTCCTAGGACCTTTCTGCTGCTTCTACTTCTGTATTTTGCTCAGCTCTCTAAACTGACTTAGCTTCAGGTAAGATTGAAAACTTCTGCCACAAACACACCTTCAGTTTCTCCAGTGGGGGTGTGTGTTCAGCAGAGGGTCTCTTTCCCACTTCCACAGTTGGGGTACTCACAGTATTTGGGGTGTCTCCCAAGTCCTACAGGAGCAGTCCACTTCCTTGAGAGTGTCTGTGGATCCTCTCAGGATTACTGGTTTGGTCTTACGGTCAATCCAGAGCTTAAATTAACAATGCAAGCCACCACATGCTGCTCTGTCCAGAGCTACAATCTAGTCCTGCCTCCTATCTGCCATGATGATCCAGGCCACAACTTCTTAATTAATTAATTCTTATTGCCAGTTGATAGTCTATCAGTTTAGGCAAAAGTATCAGTTGGATGTACTACTTTGCACACATAGTTAAAATATCTTAGCTCTTCAAGCATTCATTATAAAACATCATTGTACTCTTCTAAAGTGACAATATTCATCATATCCTCCACATGCCCTCCTGAACTACACTCTTGGGAGTTCATACCACATGTTCACTCCTGATACATCTCTGCTGGAATTGATCATGGAATCTAACAATATGGAAAGCCACTTTCTCAGTCTTACATCTAACTTTATTTCTCTACAGTAGTGGTTCTCAAAATGGGCTATGCTTTGCAAGCACCTGGGGAACTTTAAAAAAATCACAGTTGATTCAAATCTCTGGGAGCAGACTAAGGCATCAGTACTTTTTAAGCTCCTCCGTTGATTCCAATGTGCAGTTACAGTTGGGAATTGTTGCTTTTGGGACATGCCAGGTTACTAATTTCTGAGTGTTGTTTAAGGGAATGTGTGAGCTCAACATTTCTCTTGTAGGAATTTTTTGAGAAGCAAGAGAGATTGGGGAACAAAATAGCTACTATTTTTTGCTAGTGCAAAGAGATTAGCTTGAAATCACACGGACCTGTGTTTTAATCCCATCTATGCTACCTTTGTAAAAATGGGAAACTCACTTATCTCCCCTCTAGCTTTACCCATTTCTACATTGAAATAAGACCCACTTTCTACAGTGGTCGGTGTTAAATGAGATCATATGTGCAAAGTGTTCAATATGATGTAGTACGTAACATGATAGGACATAGTAATATTAACTAAAGATATCACTACAAATCAAAATCCTTATTTTCAAAATTAAGTCTCCAAAGAAGAAATGAAAATGAATCCCAAATCTGTTGCCTAGATTTTTGAGTGCCAAGCAGGATTATTGCTAACCAAAATGAGTATTCCAACTTAACTCATTGCCCTTAGTAATAATTCTTTTAGGGACAAAGATAAGCTCCCTTAATTGCAAAATTCCTTTCAGAGGTGCTATAAATGGATTTTGAATTACACTGTCTTTAGGTTTAACCTTTAAAAATAATAAGAAAGCAAGAAATATTACTAGTTCAGAAATGATTTTCTGTTCCTTACTTATCAGAGAAGACCTGAGAGGCTATGGTAATCATTTTTTGTCTTCATAGTGAAACAAAATAGTAAGGTTCTAATAGCATTTTTAGACATCGTGAAAAAGGTGCTCATTTTACGATTATGGCAGTTCCTCTCAGAATGCCTTAAGATGACACTAAGGAGTTGGACTTTAGGAATGCTTCAGCCAGAATGGCACAATGGTACTAGATGGGACAAGAGGTCATTAAGGAGGAACTAAGCAGCCTGCCACAATATATTTCTTTTTGTGTCCACTTTCTCACACTCACTGTGATAAATTCCATTTACTAAGAAAAGTGGCTTATGTCATTCTTGGGCACTGCTTTCAAGTTCTGATATATTAGATTCATTTACTCTATGTTAACAGCATTCAAATGTTTAGTAAAGATAATTACCTCTTGCCCTTTTTTCCAAGTTAATCCACCAGCTTTGTCCTGTGCTTCAGGCTCTCCCATAAGGCTGCAATCAAAGTGTCAGCTAGAGCTGTGGTCTCATCTGAAAGCTGGATAGGGAAGGATTGGCTCCCATGTTCATTTACATGGTTGTTGGCAAGATTCAGTTCCTCAAGGGTTTTTATGCTGAGGGCCTCTGCTTCTTGCTGGGTGTTGGCCAGTGGCCACCCTTAGTTCTGTGCTGTATGGGTCTCACCACACAGCAGCTTACTTCATCAAAGCCAGCAAGAGGGTCAGTCTGCTGGTTAGAAAGAAGTCTCAATCTTTTATAACCTAATCATAGAACTGACATCTACTCCATGCTGCCATATTCTTTTGATTAAGAGTAAGTTATTCAAAGGAATGAAATACATAAGGCTGTGAATGAGGGAAGATAGGGATCAAAAATCATAAAAAGAAAAATGGCCCTGTAGTAAATGCTATGGTTCCCACACTGCATCCCCCATGTCTACCTGATGTCAGCACAATCATCTATGGTGTCCATTTGCCACTATGCATCTGGCCACTGTGTACCTGAGTGTTCAGGTGCCTGCCTCAGCAAAGACCCTCAGCTCATATGCAGGTACATCCTAGAATTGCATGGAGATGAACATTGCTGAGGCACACTTCAACCAGTGGTTATTGGGAGTGGCAGGTAAATGTCCTAACCTCTCATCTTTCTGCACAACAGTGGTGGTGTATATTCTACACAGCTTCTCAGAGGAGCCTCAGTGGGATTGGACCCCATTAGCCACTGTAATAACTAGCTCAGTAACACACACAAATTAGTTGTTCTCCCTTTCCTTCCCACTCTCCCCATTCACTCACTCCTAGTTCCAGAACTCATCTTCCAGATGAACTACCTGTGTCCACATCCTTATTGCTAGCTCTGGTTTCTTAATAGACCTTAAGAAATCCTTGGAATAAAAGACAAAACGGTTTGTCTCTAGGATCAAGGGCTGACACTGGCAAGCAACAGGCTCTAAAACTATGACCCAGGAAAAAAACTTTTCTGGAAGACATCAACATCACCTCCTAGACACAGAGTATGCTGGCTTCATCCCAGTAGTTCCTTTACACATTTTAAATATGGGTCTCATTAGGATCATATATAACGCACCTGATTTCATGCCTTGCCTTTTCTTTTCATTCTGCAGATTCTTCTAAGAAGCCTAAATTCACCAAGTGCCGTTCACCTGAGCTAGAGACTTTTTCATGCCACTGGACAGATGCAGTTCATCATGGTTTAAAGAACCCAGGACCCATACAGCTGTTTTATACTAGAAGGTGCTGTCCTCATGCCTTTCTGATTTTCCTTTCTATGGATGTACCTACTAAAGTACACTGAGTCACATGTAGTGTAGAAATGGAAGTGATTTGTTGTGATTTATGTAATAGTCTCATTCACTCATTTATTGAAAAAAATATTAATCAAGACCATCCTATGTACTGAGTACTATTTTAGGCACTGGAGATATAGTAGTGATTACAAAAAGACAAAATCCCTGGTCTCAGGGAGATTTCCTTCCAACACAGGGAGACAGACAATAAAAATTGAATAAAATGTCAGCTAGTAATATAGGTTATTAAGAAAAATAAAGCCAGAAAGCAGCATATCAGCAGTGTGTGGGAGTGTGTGTATGTGTGTGAGTGTGTCAAAGTGTGGGTGAGAGTATGTAGGGATACACATGGCCATGTGCATGTGGATGAGAGTGTGTGTAAGAGGCTTGAGTGATATTGAAATGGGAGGTCCTAGGAGACCTCTCTATTGTGGTGCCCTAGACCAGAGACATAAGTGAAATGGGACCGGCCACATGAATATCTGGGGGAAAGGCTATCTAGGCAGAGGAAATTATGTACAAAGTCCCTGAGGCAGTCTTGGCATATTTGAGGGAAGATAAAGGCTAGCACTGAAGGCACAAGATTGAAAGTGAGGATAGTGATATGGGAAAGAATCAGAGAGTTACTTAGGGACAGACTATGCCAAAGCTTGTAGGCAAGGGCAAGGCTTTGAATTTTACTTTATTTGTGGTGGAAAACTATAGGTGTTTTTTGAAAAGACGTATGTTTTAAACATGCAACTTGGTTTCTAGGCAGATAATACACTATGTCTCTTAAATATATTTAATAAAAGACTATATTACTTTTCCATTTTTACCAATGACCCTCTAAAATAGCAGAGGAAGGATGAAACAAAGACCTCTCAATATAGGTACCACCCAAGTTGTTTATTTCTTCCCCTTCACCTGGTATTATTTTCATTTTTGTTTACTCTTATTCTGTATATTTTTACTTTTTTTTACATTTTAGGCTTAAACTCCTCATTATCTCTTCATTTCCACCCAACTCAGAGAAGACCTAAGCCGAGATATAGGGTTAGTAAGGACCCTTTAACCTTGGCTCAAGTTGTTCATTAGTCAGAGGATGATGTTGTCTATCCCACAGAGGAGCTGGGAAAGGGAAGGAAGATGCTGCCAGCACTTAGGGATATGAGCTCAGAGCCAACAAACCTGCACTTCAGTGTAGTTCTGCACTTTCTCACCAGGGAATATTGAGAAATTAACCAGTTTGTATATAACTAAGCCTCCTCATTTGCAAAAAGGAGATAATGGACCTGCCTCATGGCTTCTTGTGAGGATTGTCTTAGATAACTGATGAAAACTACTTAGCACAGTACTTAACACATAATGAATACTCAGTAAATGGTAGCTGGTATTCTTATTATTGGTACTATAGTGATAATTTTAAATAATTATAATGTATAATTCCAGTTCCTGGACTATAAAGATGACTATAAGTGGTATAAGACCATTTATACCTATAAATTATTATAATTAGTGTAATTATTGGTATACAGCCATTTTAATACAGAGCCACAGCTTAATTTGGAGATGAAAAATACTTTGAGAACCTTCCCCACCTTTCAGTGTAAGAGAGGTCTCTTAGATGAAGTGAAGTGAAGATGAAGTCTTTGGGCACCAAGTATACTATATGTTTCCTTAAGGCTGACACCACAGAGAGAGTGTGGCCAGTAAACAAAGTTGATTTCTATAAATACATTCAGACACGAAGCTAGCATGTTTGATAACATTTTTTAAATGTGTAGAATTCATTATGTTATTTGTAAATAAAGAAAAAGAGAGGAGACTTGGTGCGATTTTCATACTTGAGCTCAGAGAGCCAGCTCAATTTTTATGAGCAAAATTAGCCAAACTGTGGAGAAAAGTAGCAGAATAACCTCTTAAACTGGGTCCACTTTATGAAAATATTTTTTGCTACCTCTATATTTACCAAATTTGAAATTAGCAAAAAGAGAAATCCAAAGGAACAAAGATTTCATAAACATATGTCCCTTGTCCTCATCAATCAGGGCCATATAACTATCTACAGGCATCTTATGTACCTCCCAGTCATTTAAGCAACCCTGGTTCAAACCCAGGATCTATACAAGCAAGGAAGCTGCTGAAGGTGTGACTGGGTAGAAGGAAAATTTCAGACATATTCAGAAGGCTGTCTTAGTTTTTGCCCTGGTAGTGTTTGGAGTCCCAGGGGAATAAGTACAACCTCATGATTAAGTGCCAACCCAAACTTAAAAAATTAGATTTTTGTGTTTTTTTCTATAAAATATAACTATTTTGAATATCTTAGCCAAACTACTATAAGCCCACAGCCCAGTTTGTCTGAGAAGGGTAGAACTGAGGGATTAGGAGGATCAGGACTGGAATACCCTAATGAGTGTACAAATAAATTCGACTTCTCATTGCCCACTTCACAAAGAGGACAATACGAATGCACTTTCTGACTCTTGTCATTGTTATTTAGAACTCAGTTGCTAGGCAACTCCTGATACTATAGAAATATGCCTCGCATCCTGACACAGAAATAAAACTATGAGATGATTTTATCCAAAACCAGAGTCAGTGAAGGCAGAAAGGAGCAGAGGAGGGAAGTGCAGGTGTTTCCGTTTACTTGCCTGAGTATCTAAAGCACAACGGAATGTGAACATGTCAGACTGTCAACAGGACAGTTCAGGCATAGCCCTACAGGCAGATGCCTGGCTCTGCCCCTTGCCAGGTAGCTGGCAGAAGAGGCAGCCTCCGCATGTTAGGGCAGCTGACCCAAAATAGTCTCTGCCATCCTGTGATGGCAATAGTGCCAAATTCAGTCTCTGAGCTTGCAGGGCACTCAGGATGAATGCAAATTACAGGCATGGCAAAAGGAGGCTCTGGAAAGCATGTTGTAGCTGCTCTTCTCTCAGCTCCTTTCATGTAAAAATGTGTGCTTTTAAAGGAAGTGGGCATATGAACACTCAGTCCTTAAGGCTGTATTCCCTACCTCTTCCATACCTATTTAACCCCCTTCAAAAATTATCCTAGTCTTAACAGAAATTTCATTTTCTATGAAAGATTGTGTGGAAAATTAGTGGGAATAAAGGGCACTATTACTTTTATTTTTCTTAAACAAAAGAGTTAAATTTAAAGCCAAAAACATGAGCTTTCTGTCATAAAAACAGCTGCTCTTAAAACATAAATGATGTTTTATTTTTATTATTTATTTTCCAATTGGTTGTCTTTAGATGACAAACTAAATGAAGTTTAGTTTGCTCTTTATTCTTATTTTTAATAATAGCCTCTTTCTATGGTTCTTACTCCTTCCATTTCACAAGATAGTCTGGGAGCAAACCTAAACCACTTAACTTTCGGGAGTAAGAGCAGAGGGTAACTTCCATAGATTGATTTTGGTCATCTGTAGAGACATTCAACCCAGTGAAGACAGGTGACACTGTATCTGTTTTATGAGCTCATTTGGGTTCTTGTCTACATTTAAGAGTTTAAAATATAAGTTTTAAATATTTATTTAAAACAAAATTCAATATCGGTTCATGAAGAAAGAGGTTGGAAGTTGTGTTTTGAACTAGCTGTTCCTGATCCATCATGCTTAAAATAAGTGCTTTGTTTGTCCTGTGGAGTTCATGGATTTGGGATAATCTAAACAGAGTTTTTTACACAGTCCTAATGGGTGCCAAGGTGCTGACATGCCACTGTTGAGAAATTTTGTGAAACATGAAAGAGCTAATCTCCTTTTAGAAATCCAAACCTAGTAAGCATTATCTACATCTTTGGAACATCTTAATACTTTGAGTTTTCTAACGTTTTTACTATCACTTATGCTAAATACATTTGATATCCCCTCTATTGTGTGAAAGCCTCATTTTCTGGGTAATCTTCTTACAACTACTCTCTTTAATGCACTCTTATTCAGTTTGAAATTAAATATCAAATTAAGCATACTATAATTTAATGAACCACCTACCTAATCTTAATTTTTTAAATATTTTTCTTCTGACTCTAAATATAGACACACATACATACACACATATACACACAAACACACCTTATCTTTTCTTCTGCCTCAGTTCACTGGGTAGCTGGAATTACAGGCACACGCCACCACACCGAGCTAATTTTTGTATATTTAGTAGAGATGAGGTTTCATCATGTTGACCAAGCTGGTCTCAAACTCCTAACATCATGATCCACCTCCCTCAGCCTCCCAAAGTTCTGGGATTACAGGCATGAGCCACTGTGCCGGGCCAGCATATGCAACTTTTAAGAATCTCAATCAAAGCAGCATTTCACTGTCTCAGACCCTGGAGTCTCTGCTATTTTAATTCCAATTTCCTTCCAACAGCTGAGGAGCAGCTGTCTCAAGGACCCCCTGATACTACACAAGTTTTTTCCTAGTACCAAGCAGACCAGCCTGAGAAATAGCTGTAAGAAGGAAATATGCATCTTCTCCCAGCTTTGCATCCCTTCATTCCAGGCCCTGCCTTCCCCACAGCCTGATGTGTCCTTGTTGTCCACTGTTACCCAGCACCCATCCCACAGAGGGATGGTCCCAAACCTCCGTAGCCTGGCCTTCGAGCCACTGGTGCCTCTGCCTGCACAGGGCCATTCCTACCTCATCTTCCACAACCACAGATTCCATGGTTTCATATCCCTTTGACTTACAAAGTATCTTCTCAACTAACAGGCTACTGAATGATAGGGGATAATGAATTACCTCACCCAAGTAGCAATTCTAAGAAAGTTTTCCCGTCATTCCATTGCCTCTTGCTCCCCATAGCACAGTCAGGCCCATACTTCCTTACCTTAATCCCTTTAACCTCTCTGTTTCCTCCCTTCCTTGCCATATTGCCATCTATTAAACTTTTACCCATCCTTCAAGAATGCTTAAAACACACCTCTATCTTGAAGCCTTCCATGAAGAGCCAGAGCAATCATTCCCTCTTCCGAACATTTAAGGGATCTAAAGAGCACTACCAATGAGCACATACCCATATTACTTTGTAATACCATTTTTTACTCCTTCCTTCTGAGGCAGGAGGAATTCCTTAAACATCTATGAATCCCCCATAATGTCTGGTGTCATGTTCTAGACATAATCAATTCTCATTAAATAACAATGGAATGAATATGAGAGACCCAAAAAACTACTCAGATGGGAGTTTCCGAGTCTTCTTTTAGCCTGAAATTAGGGGACCAAATCTTACTTATCTTTATAACTGCACAGTGTTGGTGATGGATATAATGCATCACTCTGCCTGGAGCACACATCAGTTTGTCTCCTCAGTTTCTTCTACCATAGACTGGGGAAACAGCCAGGTCTAAACCTTCACTGTTCTCTGGGATTCTCTAGTTTGTGGAGTGACTCTCGGTACTGTTTTAATGAACATTTTTAAAATTCCCTAAGTCTCAGAACCTTCATCTATAGAACAGGGATAATAAAGTACCTACCATAGGAATCAATTTATGAGCAGGCATAGCATATGCATTCAGTAAACAAAAGCTTTTTCCATAGGCGAAAGTACCAAATAGCCTCATAACCATCTTTAGACACTGATGATATTGTCCACCAATGTGATACATCTCATGAATGGTGTTGCTAAAATACCTCTTCACAAAATATTTGTGTTCCAATTTATTGAATCAGACTATCAAGCAACTTACTTGGACATAAACATGATTTTTGGAACAATTAATCTTCTTAACCCTCCCTTTTAGGAACGCTCAAGAAGGGACTCAAGAATGGAAAGAATGTCCTGATTATGTTTCTGCTGGGGAAAACAGCTGTTACTTTAATTCATCGTTTACCTCCATCTGGATACCTTACTGTATCAAGCTAACTAGCAATGGTGGTACAGTGGATGAAAAGTGTTTCTCTGTTAACCAAATAGGTAAATCACAGGTTTGTGTTTCATTTGCCATAGTTTTAGACTAAATAGATGGGGAAGCCTGCAATGTCCAAGTATGATCAAATAGGAAGACGTTGTAACCATGTTCTAGATACATGGAGATATGTTTTACAGGAGATAGGATCAGCTGGTGAACAAGAGGAAAAGGGTGGGGGGCGGGGCTTAAGTTGACTTTAACATAAAGCAGCCTGGCAGTAAATGTTGTGAAGAAAAGAATAGGAACCTTGTGGAGTGTTTTCCTTGAGGATATCTTTGAAGCTGGGTTGTGTTTTTATCTACTACTGCAAAGGGTGAACTTAATGTATTCTTAGGATTTCTTATATCCTAATTATTTAGTAGGATGATTATATTCAGATTCACTGAAATATGTTGGCCTTTGACCTCTACCATTGCTATAATCAAAGCCTAGATTTGCTTTATTCCAAAGCACAATCATTCTGGAATGTTCCATTTGCAAAGCAGCCACAGTCGCTTTAAAGACATGTTTATAAGATCTCAGAACAAACACCGGAGGCAATCAGCTCAGTGAACTAAGTGAAAGAGCCAAAGAGAGGCTCCTTTGCCCATCATGTGGACACAAGGTGGAAACAAAACAAACAACTGTAATTAGAACGTTCATGTTTATACCATAATAGTATCAACAGCAAAATAGAAAGAATCCAAGAAGGACTTTGTGTAGCTGAAATTGGTGCCTCAAAATCTATCCATAAAAGCTCATTTGTTGCCTATAGGAATTCCTTGCTGTTTCTCCCAAATGTGTTGTTCTTTTATGTGGTTTTCTAGGCATCAGCAGACTGGAAGAGATATGAGTCTGTGGCTAGAAGTTACAGATAGAAACAAATAAAATCTAATAACCTGACTTTAAGGGAGAAAATTAAGAGAACTGTATCAAGCAGTAAAGGTAACCAGATTGCTTTGGAAAGGCAATTTAGTATGTGTCCTTACATCAGTGGGTATGGCTGTTGAGCTGAAACTAGTTGAGATAGCAGAATGGGATAGTAGCAAGAATACTGTTTTAAAACCCATATTCTAGCCCTGTTCTCTGCCAATAGCCTGTCCTACTCATTTACCTGGCTGAGTTTCACTGAGCACCTGTCATGTGTCAGGCCCTGTTCTGGTGGGGTTGGTTATGGAGTAAGTATGATACAGTCAAGGAGGAGAGTCAGGCATGTTCACAAATAATTACAGTTTAGTGTGATAGGTGTTAACCTGGAAATGTGTGGAATGCAGGGCTGCAAAGGTGGTGGCCAAATGCATGAATGATTGACTAGACCTGAAGGATGAGGAAGAGCTGCACAGAGATGGTGACAGTTTAGTTACCTCTGAACAGGAATTGGACTCTCCCTATTTTTAAAAAAGTGGTGACCCACAGTAGTCAAAAGCATGAGTGAGTGTTGCCAGGTACCACAGTGAACTGTGCCTTTCAGTAACTACTGAGTTCCAACAGTAACAAACAGCACATGTTCAAGGACTCGGGAGCAGTTCGGAAGCCCTTCCAGTCAGCTGGAGAAATCATCAGTAGTCTTTTGTGCCCCAAAAAAGAATTTGGACTTATCTGTCACGAGGTATATTTGAGGATGTTTAAATAGGTAAATGACTTGAGGATAGTAATAGCTAGTAGTCACAGAAGTCAGGTATAAAAACCATCTTTTGCAATCTGCACTTTACAGATAACAAAACCGAGGTGCGGAGCAGTTGAAGGACTAGTTCAAGTCAAACAGCTAGTAGGTAGAGCTGTGATTTGAGCCTCCAGTATCCATGCTCTTACTCTTGAGGCAATGAAGTGCCACTTGTTGCATTATTAATGCCTCGAAGCAAATAATCTTGTTGCATTGTGGAACATAGATTGGAGTGGGATGGACTAGAGGTAGAAGAGGTTAAAAGACTGAGATGATCAAGGAAAAAGATTATGACAGGCAGTTACAATTAGCACAGTTGTTGAGGGGGGGAGGTGCTGAGAGTGAAAGAGAACAAAGAACTAAGGTAACCCTAGTAGATCTTGAGAAAGGTGTCAATCATTACAAGCCTCAGTATATGGTACTCCTCTGTGAGGTATATATATACTCCTCTCCTCAGTATATATATATATGTGTGTGTGTGTGTGTGTGTGTGTGTGTATATATATATATATATATATATATATGGTACTACCTCACAGAGATGTTCTCTGAACTTAAAGTACTACGTTAGTTAGACATTTGTCATTCATTCAATTCATTCAGCAAATATTTATTATGTTCTTCCCTCAGGCCAATCGGTGTTCTCTATGATGGGGATAGAAACTTTCTTCTCTGGTGGGATTTAATCTCAGTGAGGGTAGAAAGCAACAATGCTATGGAGAAATGTAGGAAAGGAGGATAGGAGTGTTGGAGAGGTTGCAGTGTTAAATGGGGTTTTCAGCATTGGCATCCCTGAGTCAGTGGCATCTGAATAAAAAAGAATTAGAGAAGATAATTATGTGCGTGTCTCAGGGAACAGCATTTTAGCAAGGGGGGACAGCCAGAGGAAAGATCCCAAAGTAGGAGCATGCTTTTCCTCACTCAAGGAATATAAGGCAGGTGGTGGAGTGGGCACAGAGTGAGCGGGGAGACTGGCATGAGATCAAATTCCACAGACAGGACAGTCAAATCCACAGAACCATTGTAACGACTCTGGTTTTCACTTGGAGTGAGGAAGGAAGCCTTTGGAGGGTTTTAGATGATGAGTGATGTGATCTAATGTAGGTGTTAGTAATCACTGTGTCAGTGTGCTTGAGGATTGCCTGGAGAATAGACTGGAGGGAACAAAGACCAAAGGAGAATAGTGGAGAGACAAATGCAGCAAGAAGAGTGAAAAAAGTTAATGGCTAGGACCAGGTTATAGAGGTGCAGGTGGTGAGATGTGGTTGGATTCTGCTTATATCTTGAAAGTACAGCTGACGGAATAAGGATTAATGAGGAAAGGATGAGTTCATTGTTTTTATCCTGAACAACTATAAGAATTGAGTCCTTGTTAACAGCAAAGGGAAGGAGAAAAAGAGAGCAGGTTTTGGAGAGGAAGATCAAGGGTTTGTTTGGGGATATATTAAGTTTCAGATATTTTTAAAATATTTCACAGGAGTTGTCAATACAGCATGTATGTTAATACAGCATTATACAGTATGTATAATGGTAAAGGAGAGGCCATTATTATGCCTGTAAGGGTGGTACCAAGCCTTTTCCAAAAAGACCTTGTCACATATCCTCTATTTTTCAAATGCAGCATAAGTAATAAGTTATAGAAAATCTTCCTTTAAAAACATTTCTATAGTTTTGTCACTTTAAAACTTTTGTTTTCAGGATTCCTTAATCCCCAACAATTCCAGAAGGGTGAGGAATTACTGCCATTATATTGGCATATGTAGTTTGGCCATTTTGCATATCCTTCCAATTTAATTTTCAAAATGTAGTCATGATTCATCAAATTTTGACTCTCCCTGTTTTTAAAAAAAGTGGTATCGACCCCACATGGGTAACAGCATACTCCTCCACCATAAGGTCTGTTTTCACTGTTGGTGCACACAAGAGCTTCCCCCTTTGGCCACCAGATGTGACAGCCAGTAAGAGCTCCTCACTGTGTATATCTGTAGACTTATCTCCAGTCAACCCTAGGGATGCACACTTTGCAACACTCTAAATGACCTTCTATATATGGCAAAAAAAAAAGAAAGTAAATTTTACTCTGTATCTGCAAGTGATTTTCAAAACCGTCAGTAATGAGATCCAACTAGCAATAATTTACTGGGAACTATCTAGAATATAAATTTAAATACAGTTTCTAGCTTTGGAATCTACATTTTTCTTCATCAGCCTCTGAGAAATTGTGGTCTTTGAGGTCCTAATAAGCAAAATGCAACTAATTTTCCTGAGTATGTAGAGTATATCAGAACCTGAGGAAAAAAAAAATGTTTCAAGTTGTTCACATGACAGTTAGGAAAAAAGACAGAAAACACTGAATCATCACCATTTAAGAGAGTAACATAATGCCTTCTTCCTTCTTATGTCAGAAGAAAGTATCACATGTGGCTAGGAAGACCACAAAGCTAGGGAGCATTAGCAGAGTGTGCAGGAAGATTGTATGAGTGGCAACACAGAAATGAGTAAAACAAGGTCTCTGCCTCCAGGTCTTACATGGTTGAAAGAAAAAAGATTTCTCTACCTGTAGTTGCAAAGCAGCCCCATGTCTAAATTCTGTAGGCCTTTCTGACTGTCTTTTCAGTTTCAAGTGAAAATGAATTCCTTTGCCAAAATCCCAATGCATTTATGATATCAGAACAAAAAGGAATATAAAATATTGAAAATCTTGAAAATAGTGATTAGATTTTTGACTCCAAAAGGAATTTTTTAAGGGCTTGTTTAAAAGTTAAAAGGCCGTCCTTGAGTAAAAAATGTTACTCTCTTACAAAGTGAAAATTATAATAAGAAAAATATTGAAAGAAATAAGAGTATGAATTATTTAAAAATGTAGGAAGTAATTTGTTCTCCTGAGAAGAATGCCTTCCATTAATACTGACTTGTGTCTGTCTGTGTACTAATGCTCTGTTGAATTGCACAGTGCAACCAGATCCACCCATTGCCCTCAACTGGACTTTACTGAACATCAGTTTAACTGGGGTTCATGCAGACATCCAAGTGAGATGGGAAGCACCACCCAATGCAGATATTCAGAAAGGATGGATGGTTCTGGAGTACGAACTTCAATACAAAGAAGTAAATGAAACTCAGTGGAAAATGGTAAGATGTCACTACACCTTACACTTTGACTTTTCTATTTCAGCACCCTCTCTCTCATTTATCATTAGACTTTCCTTTGACCTAATACCACAAGTCCATGCTGTATGCTTCATAATTTCCATAATATGCTTCACAAATAAATTTGAGAAAACATGATTTAATCGGTAAAATATTATCTTGAAATTCTGTAAGACAAGAGAGTTTATGTATACATGGAAGCCTGTAGAAGGGAAAGAAAACTATTTCTCCACTCATTCTTGCTGTCCCGTTTAACTTAGAGTAAAATTATAGACTGACCACTTAGCTGTCTTTGGGGATGTGGCTAAAAATGGGCAAGTTTGTGATCAAAGTCAACAGTAGACTATGGCCAAATAGTTTCCCATGATTTTAGTTGCTGCTGCTCAGAAGTCTCCCATTAAAATAAATTCATGTGTCTACAGGAAAACAGAGGGAGGGCATTTGTTTCTTAGAGGTTTCAGAAGGATGTTTTGTTACATACCTCAGAGAAGAATCAAGCTGAGATTCTGATGTAGCAGTTAGAGAGCATAGTACTGGTTGACTTCTGAACCCCATGCTTTCTTCCCAAGCGTATGGAACTCAGAACTTTGACAAATTTCACATGGCACATAACAAGAGGAAAAACAGGAGTATCATGCTGCTCCCAATACAACTAATTCTAAACCTGTCTTAACCACAGCCACATCCACAGCCAAGCCAAGCAGTTTCTGGCCACCATCAGGTGATGCCCAACAGCCTGGCACAGATCACTCCCAGAATTTTGAGACACCAGTCCTGTCCATTCAGTGAACCACTGAAAAAGATGCCAATTCTCTCATTAGTAGAAAGTTAAGTTGGGAGGAACTTTGAATAGTTACAATACTGGGCTTGGAGGCTCTATTTTCTGAATCATTTTAATTTAGATATCTGTTCTGTAACTTGGTACAAATAAAATGCCTGATTGGATGCTAAGTCAAACAAGACTGTCTAAATCCAAATTACAATCAAACATTATTCAGCAACAGGTACTGAAATAACTACTATGCAGAAGGCACGGTGCTAAATACCTAAGGTAACAGTTCTCAAAGTGGAAACCACAGACCCCTGAGGGTCCCTGAGATCCTTTCAGGGAGTTCAGTACTATTTTCACAATATGCTAAAATGTTATTTTATTCACTATGCTGAAGTTTAACTTTATGGCACAAAAGCAATCGTGGAAACACTGCTGTCACATTAGCATGAAGCAAACCAGTAGTATCAAATTTTACTAATAGTCATTGTACTCTATATCATCATGCACTTACAGTAAAGAAAGAGAAAAAGCCAGTTTCACATGTGAAGTTATTGATGAAGCTGTAAAAATTGTTAATTTTACTAAACCTCGATCTCTGAGTACATAGCTTATCAATATTCTGTGTGAGGTGTGGAAATTACACATTAAGTATGTCTGCTACATACTGAGGTCTTGAAGAAAAATGTTTAAATGACTGAGTTGACAGCTGAACTAGTTGCTTTTATTACTTGGAGCACCATTTTTACTTGGAAAAACAACCGATAAACTAGCAGATGGTTATTCATATTTTAATTGGCAAACATTTCTCAAAAAAGAATGAAGTGAACTTGTCCCTTCAAAAAAAAACAATTGACAGTATTTTTTTCCACGAAAAAATTTGACTTTTCAAGGCAATTCATTTTGCCTTTTTGGAAAATTTGTATCTGCAATCATGAGCCTGATAGTGTTTTAATATTTGAAGACTTTTTTTGAAGAGATTGATGGTGATATTAGTGAAAGTGACTTTTAAATTATATTGTATAATAAAATGTATAAACATTTTAAAAAGCTACAAGTCAGCTAACCAGTATTTTCCAAATGACTAATATATGATATAATCAAATCACATGTGAGGAAATGATCCATTCAAAATACTAGAATGGAGTCATATCCAAAATATCATTGACCAAACCAATGTCATAGAGCTTTTCCCCTATATTTTCTTCCAGTAGTTGTACAGTTTCAGGTTTTACATTTAAGCCTTTATCAATTTTGACTTTATTTTTGTATGTGGTGTAAAATAAGGGTATAATTTCATTCTTCTGCATATAGATATCCAATTTTCTCAACAGCATTTAAAGACAGAGTGCTTTCATTATTGCGTATTCTTAGCACTTTTGTAATAAATCAATTTACTGTAAATGTGTGGACTTATTCCTGAGCCCTTTATTCTTTTGCATTGGTTTATGTCATTTTTATGCCAGTACCATGCTGTTTTGATTATTATAGCTTTGTGGTATGTTTTGAGGTCAGTAGAGTGATGATTCCAGCCTTGTTCTTTTTGTTCAAGATTGCTTTGGCTATTCATAGTCTATTGTGATTGCACACAAATTTTAGAATTGTTCTATTTCTGTGAAAAATGATATTGGCATTTTGATAAGGATTGTACTGAATTTGTAGATCAATTTAGGTAGCAGGGACATTTGAACAATATTAATTCTTCTAATCCATGAACATAGCTATCTGTTTTATTTGTGTTGTCTTCGTGGTTTACAGTTTTTAGTGTACAGATATTTCACCTACTTGTTTAAATTTATTTCTAGGTATTTTATTTTATTTTTATAGCTATTGTGAAAGATTTTTTTAAAATTTCTTTCTCAGATTGTTCCTCATTAGTGTATATAAACATTACTGATTTTTGTATGTTGACTTTGTATCCTGCAGCTTTACTGAATTTGTTTCTCTGTTCTAGCAGTTTTTTGTTGAAGTCTTTATGGTTTTCTATATATAAAATCATGTCATCTGCAACCAAAGACAACTTAACTTCTTTCTTCCCAATTTTGGATGCGTTTTATTTCTCTCTCTTATTTAATTGTTCTGGCTAGGATTTTCAATAGAGAGTAGAGTAGAGTAGTTACATTGAATACAAGTGGTAAGAGTAGTCATCCTTGTCTTGTTCCTCATTTTAGAAGAAAAGTTTCCACATTTCACTGTTTATTATGATGTGGGTTTGTTATATGTGACCTTTATTGTGTTGAAGTACATTCCTTCTACATCTAATTAAGAGTTTTTATCTAGGTTTTCTTCTATGGTTTTTATGGTTAAGCTCTTATGTTTAAGTCTTTAATCAATCTGGAGTTAATTTTAGTGTAAGGTGTCAGGAAAGGATCCAGTTTCTGCTTTCTGGACATGGCTAGCCAGTTTTCCCAACACCATTTATTAAACAGGGAATCCTTTCCCCATTTCTTGTATTTGTCAGGTTTGTCAAAGATCAGATTGTTGTAGATGTGTGGTGTTACTTCTGAGGCCTCTGTTCTGTTCCATTGGTCTATATCCCTGTTTTGATACCAGTACCATACTGTTTTGATTACTGTAGCCTTGTATTATAGTTTGAAGTTCAGTAGTGTGATGCCTCCAGCTTTTCCCTTTTTGCTTAGGATTGTCGTGGCTATGCGGACTCTCTTTTGGTTCCATATGAAGTTTAAGGTGGTTTTTTCCATTTCTGTGAGGAGGGTCATAGGTAGCTTGATGGGGATAGCGTTAAATCTGTAAATTACTTTGGGCAGTATGGCCATTTTCACAATATTGATTCTTCCTAACCATAAGCATGGAATGTTTTTCCATCTGTTTGTGTCCTCTCTCATATCCTTGATCAGTGGTTTGTAGTTCTCCTTGAAGAGGTCCTTTACAGCCTTGATAGTTATATTTCTAGGTATTTTATTCTTTTTGCAGTAATTGTGAATGACAATTTACTCTTGATTTGGCTCTCTTTTAGTTTGTTATTGGTGTATAGGAATGCTTGTGATTTCTCCACATTGATTTTGTATCCTGAGGTGTTGCTGAAGTTGCTTATCAGTTTAAGGAGATTTTAGGCTAAGACGATGGGCTTTACTAAATATACAGTCATGTCGTCTGCAAATAGAGACAATTTGACTTCCTCCTGTCCTAATTGAATACACTTTATTTCTTTTTCTTGCCTGATTGCTCTGGCTAGAACTTCCAATACTATATTGAATGGAAGTGGTAAGAGAGGGCATACTTGTCTTGTGCCAGATTTCAAGGGCAATGCTTCCAGTTTTTGCACATTCAGTATGATATTGGCTGTTGGTTTGTCTTAAATAGCTTTTATTGTTTTGTGATATATTCCATCAATACCTAGTTTATTGGGAGTTTTTAGCATAAAGGGCTGTTGAATTTTGTCAAAGGCCTTCTCTGCATCTATTGAGATAATCATGTCGTTTTTGTCTTTAGTTCTGTTTATGTGGTGAATTATGTTTATATACTTGCGTATGTTGAACCAGCCTTCCGTCCCTGGGATGAAGCCTACTTAATCATGATGGATAAGCTTTTTGATGTGCTGTTGCAGTTGGTTTGCCAGTATTTTATTGAAGATTTTTGCATCTATATTCGTCATTGATATTGGCCTAAGGTTTTCTTTTTTGTTGAGTCTCTGCCAGGTTTTGGTATCAGGACAATGTTGGTCTCACAAAATGATTTGGAAAGGATTCCCTCTTTTTGGATTGTTTGGAATATTTTCAGAAGGAGTGGTACCAGCTTCTCTTTGTATGTCTGATAGAATTCAGCTGTGAACCCATCTGGATCTGGGCTTTTTTTGGTCAGTAGGCTATTAATTGCTGCCTCAACCTCAGACCTTCTTATTGATCTATTCAGGGTTTCAACTTCTTCCTGGTTTAGGCTTAGGGGGGTGCAACTGTCCAGGAATTTATCTATTTCTTCCAGATTTACTGGTTTGTGTGCCTAGAGTTGTTTGTAGTAATCTCTGCTGGTAGTTTGTATTTCTGTGGAATCAGTGGTGATATCCCCTTTATTGTTTTTTATGACATCTATTTGATTCTTCTCTTTTCTTTTTTATTAATCTGGCTAGCAGTCTCTCTATTTTGTTGATCTTTTCAAAAAACCAGCTCCTGGATTTATTGATTTTTTGAAGGGTTTTTCTGTGTCTCTATCTCCTGCAGTTCTGCTCTAATTTTAGTTATTTCTTGGCTTCTGC